AGAGAGAGAGAGAGAGAGAGAGAGAGAGAGAGAGAGAGAGAGAGAGAGAGGTCAGAATCTGCCTCAGGGTCTCACCTCTGCCCACATAGGTCAGAGGAGAGGTCTTTCTTTGAGTGGTACACACACAAATCTCCATGACCACAAATCATTTTACTCTTCGGATCTTCGGATATGTTGAGCACTCTACTCATCATCCAAAAATGAATGAGTATCAAAGCTATAACATCCCTCAATTCAGAATAAGTCTTACTGATGATCCTTACCTGACTTTGGGTAAGACAATATGATCAAGTCTTCATCTTTCACCATAAACTTATTATGAACAACTTCCAAAATTTGTTTTTGAAAATCTATGTCAGGAAAAGGGATTCCTTCAGACCAACTATAGTCTGACATCATTAATAGCTCTTTATAGGTGCTGTTAGTATTCTAGCCTTGGCTACCTGTTCAGGAAATGATGAGAGTTAAAATTTATAGTGCAAGTAAAAAATCATTAACATTCTCTAGTTTGTTGTGAAACTAGCTACTGATAGGAAAAAATAAATATTGTAATGAACAGTCAAAAGTTACTGTATTGAGCAATTTTGAACTCAAACAAAGAACATTCTGTAGTGTTTGTGATCCCAAGCTCATCACCCCAAACCAGAAACTCGGTAACAGGTAATAGGTATAGAAATGCAGGTTAATTTAAAATGTCTTCTAATACAATTTAGCTTTCAGAATTACTTTAAATGTGCAGAAAAAAATGAAAGAGATCATACAGAAACTTTCCATGGCAATTCTTTTAAAATAATGTTTCCTTTTGAGAAAAATCATAGTACTAGTACATTAGCTGCCCTTCTTCTTACCATCAAAGCCCTCCTTACACTTCCCATGTTTATGATCTCTTCTTTAATATTCGTTTCTATTTATATATGCACACATGTATAGACAACCTACTGAGTCCATTTATTTGGGATTGTATATGATGCATCCTGAGGTATGAAGTTGGAGATTGGAAAATCAATGTGGGATTTCATCTCCAGACACAGCTTATTCTCCGTCTCTTAGCAGTCATTTATATGAAGTATTTCTTTTTCTAGGGTAAAACCACATAGAATTTCTGTTGGCCTCTTTGCTGTGCCTACGAGAGCCATTATGCTGGTTTGTGAGTGTAACTATACTGTTAAGAGTTAATGTGTCTATTTTTTCTCTGTCATAACTAAGAGAGACATATTCTATCAACAGAAATCTTGGGCCTCTGGAGGACTTCTGTACCCTCTTCTGTGAATTTTTTCCTGAGTCTTAGGATGAAAGGATTTATTACAAATGTATCAGATGGGGTTGGGCCCCTTACTGTTAATTATTATCTAAATTTTGGCCCTTAGTGGATCTTTGTGAGAGTCTCCATATGTTGCGAAAGAAGTATCTTTGACAAGTGGTGAGAACTGCATTTACCTGTGTCTATAAGGACAGATAGTTTAAAAACAGTTGGAAATTACACTACTTTATGGAATTGCTAGTAGTCAGTCTCTTGGGTTTTTGTCTTTATCAACACCAGGTTGTTGTCTCCTTTAAGAGTACCAGATATAGCTTCTGTCTTTTCTGAATAGGCCTTAGGTCCAATTAGCCTTTGATTCCTCCAAAATAAAAGTGCCACCATTGTGCACCTGTGGATGTCTTGCCAATCAAGTCATTCTTGTGGTTCACAGGCTTCATATCTTCATAGTTTGAATGCCTGAGTGTTATCCATTGGCAGATTGAAAACCACTTCACTGGGATGAGATTTCCAGGAAATTCTAGCTCAGTTCCTCCAAATTCTGTATCTGAAGTGCATTGTTGCTTCAGCAACATAATATTATCTTCAAGTTCTGGGAGTCAACCAAGGGCAATAATAGCAGATGTTGTTTTTCTGGAGGGGTGGTCTGTTAGACTATCCTGACCAACTACTTAAGATAAACTTTCTCATGCATGATACTGGGGTTTTGTTATATATGCTGTAGTTCTTGGGGAGAACATTATCATTCCAAATGGCACAGTATCTTTAAACTACATATTAATGTTTCATATATTAATATGCATATTACATGTGATTTTAGATAAATATTGGATAATATTATTCTCTATGTCTCTTCAAATATCCTTGGTGTAATTTATTCCTCCTTGTATTCTGCCACTGTGTATTAGATCTTTGTCCTCTCTCCAAAACACACTCCACCCCATTATTCCCATTTCTCCCTTTGTAGCACCTGTATGTTATTCCAGTGTGTAAATTTCCTCTCCCAAATGGTCCCCTTTTACTTTCCTTGTTACTGTGGTTTCTCCAGGTTATAAATGCACATCTAAAACTCAAACCCAGAAAGCACAAATAAGAGAACATTTCACACTTTTCTTTCTGAATCTAGGTTACCTCCCTCAGTATATTTTTTTCTATTTCCACCTGTTTGCCTGAAATTTTCATTATTTCATTTATTTCTACAGCTAAGCAGAATGTCATTGTACATATGCACCACATTTTCACTAGTAATTTATTAGTTGAAGGACATTTAAGCTGTTTTCATTTTCTAGTTATTTTGAGTAGAACAGTAATAAACATCGCTGAGAAAGTATTTGTGAAGATATCAAGTCTTTTCAGCATATGCCATGGAATATTGTATCTGTGTTACATGATACATTTTTTACACTGATTTTCAGAGTGACTGCATCAGATTGAAATGCAACTAAGTGAGTGAGGGTCCCCAATTTCCCACATTTTCACAAGCATTTATCTCACTGGTATTTGCTGTCAGTTGTTTCCTTGATCATAATATTTTTGACTAGAGTAGAATAAATCACAAAGTAGTTTGATTTTCATTTCCTTAATTGCTAGAGATTTTGCCCAATTAAGAAGGTATAACTTAAGGGTTTTTTTTTAATTTCTTCTCTTGATAATAAATAAAACTGGCCAGAGTTAAAAGTGAGGTTTTGATACAGTATAGTTTTTACATGGACTATTTGCCTGTCTCCGTTTTGCTCTGTTTGTAGCTTCCTAGCTTCCTACACCTGCAACATTATTCTCTCTCTCTCTCTCTCTCTCTCTCTCTCTCTCTCTCTCTCTCCCTCCCTCCCTCCCTCCCTCCCTTTCTCCCTCCCTCCCCCTCTCTCTCACACACACATACCCACACACACACACATACAAACACACTCTCACTCTCTCCTACCTTTCAAGAAAAAGAAAAAGAAAAACAAACAAAAACCCCAACTAAAACAAAAGAAAATAACAGCCCATCCTCCCTTAAAAGCAAGAAGTTTGTTTTGTGTTGATCAACTACATCTAGGTATAAGGAATGTCTTGGAATGTTGTTGATATACCCAGTGACACGTCTTTGGAGAAAACTGACTTTACTTTCCCTAGAAGGTATAGATTGCAAATAGCTTCTTGGGTAAGAGTGGGACTTTGTGTCCTCTTCCTAGTCTCTGTACACTTCTGCCTTTTAACAATCTTTCTATCTCCTTCATAGATGCTTGAGCTTTGGGATGGGTTTGATGGAGACACCTTGTTTAGGACTGAGTGTTCCAATTTTTCACGGTCTGTGTATTGTCCAGTTGTAAGTCTGTGTTTTAGTTAATATGTACTGAAAAGAAAATAACTTCTATAATAAGCAATAAGTTGAGCAATGCACTGATCTGTGGGTGTAGAAACATCTCATTAGGAGTAATTTTATTGCTATGCTGATTTAGCAGAGTAATAGTAACAGATTTTCCAGCATGTCCATGATCTATCTAGGATAAGGGTCTTGGCCTCATTACCAGTGTCAGGTGTAGATTCCATCTCACAATGTTGGATATAAACCCAATCAAATTGTTGTTGATTTTTCCCATAACACTTACGCCATTATTACACCAATACATCTTGAAAATTAGTCACTGTTGTAGTCACAGGGTTGATCATTATGTGAGCTTGATGATCTCTTTCATTCTCCTATAGTACCTTCTAGCACTATTAACAACAACCAGTAAAGATGAAGTATCTGGTTGAACACCAGCTCAATCTGTCCATGCCCAATGTCATAAGTTAACATGTGTCTTCAGAAATAGGGCCTTACCTTCTTGTTATGGATTGTAACCAACAAATAGCATTGAAAGTAGACTGTAATGCTTAGAAGGTTATATTAGACACAATTGGCCAACAACTAACAAAATGTAACCAATTCCTGATACTGGAGATTTTACTTGTTAGTGTATGATTTCTAGTTGGGGCATTATCTGTTCCATATGTCATAATATAATTTAAGTACTTTTTTATTTATTTTAGGGATCTTCTAATATGTAAAGTTTCCATAGGCATTTTCAAAATATCTTCAGTACATTTAAAAAATAACAGTCCTCAGTATCTAAATAATTATTTTTTTGTGGATAAAAATTTGACCTCTCCTAATATTTTGATATTCCACCAGATTTCATTTTGGAGAAAATAATGGTCATTAACACTGCACAATAAATCAAATGAAAATAGAACATCATTATGTATTCCTTTCTAATGAATTGTTCTCTTCTGAGGTACCAGATCTGATTATTATGGGAGAAAAAAGTAAGAGATTAGACCATTGAGAGACAGTATGTCATAGAATTCATGGCATAAGCAAATCTTATTGGTCAATATTTTCATTTTACAAATTAACCCTGAAACGGCACAGGTGGGAAATGGCTCAGTGGTTAAAAGCAATTGTTGTTCTTCCAGAGGATCCAGGTTCCATTCTCATCTCCTATATGCCAGTTACCATGATTTATAACTACAGTTCCAGAGAATTCAATAATCTAGTCTGGCTTCTATAGGAACCAAGTATACATGAGGTATACAGTCATTTATGCAAACATTCACACACAAACACAGTAAAGTAAATTTAAAGTGTATTATTTCTTTTTAAGGAATGCAATTAGTATTGTAATTGCATTGAGTCTGTAGATTTCCTTGGATAATGTAGTCATTTTCTTAATATTGATTTTGCCAATCTGTGAGTGGTATATGAGGGTGTCTTCCCATTGTCTTTTAGGTGATTTTTAAAAATGATGTCTTCTGAATAAGGTAAACAAGAAGGAAGGCCCATGTGAGGATGTTTGAATCTCACTTAGATGGGGGAACAAAATAGTCATGGAAGCAGATAGAGGGAAGGAACTGGGTAGAGATTGGATGGGGAAGGGAATGTGGGTTTCAGAATTAGGTATAAGGAGGGACAGGAGAGATTGCTAGATGGCCATGAAAATGAATGGGGCTCTGCAACTCACAGGGGTGGTGTGGTGAGGACCATATGAGGGACATGTTAGAGATCTAGGATAGTGGAGGCCTTCAAGCTATTACTCACAGCATTGGAGATATGGAACCTGAAGTGGTCACCAATGGAGCATAGGTACACCAATCCACTCAAAACGTCTGATCCAAAATTTACCCTGTCTCAAAGAAATACAGGC